TTATTTTAGAGGGAACAACAACTTTGGTCATGGAGGAAACTTCAAAGGTTGTTATGGCTTTGGTGGTGGTGGATATGATGGCAGAAATTGATTTGGTAATAACAGAAGCAGTGTGGGAGGTGGTAGAAGCTACAATAACTTTGGCAGTTACAACAATCAATCTTCAGATTCTGAACCCATGACAAAAGGAACTTCTCTGGTTCTCGTGGTGGTGAAGGCCAGTACTTTGTCAAACCACAAAACCCAAAGTGGTTATGTGTGTCTAAGCAACACCAGTAGTTATGGGAGTGGCAGAGATTTAATTACTGCCAAGAAAAAGTTAGGAGAGCCAGAGAAGGGACAGAAAAGTTATGGATTACAATAGGTTTGTGAACTCAGCCAATCACAGCAGCAGAGTCTAACTGCTACAAGAAAATAAAAAAATAAGGATGGTATTTGGGACTAATTATATAACAGGTATTTTAGTGTCTGTTCTCTAAAAAGTGAAAAGCATTCCAACGAAAGGTTTTAATGTGGTTCTTTGTTGTTGTTCACATGTTGTTAATTGATAACTGTAATAGTCTGATCAGACTATTATGCTGATTAAATGTGTCTTTTAAAAAAAATTCACAGGATGTGGGGCGCCTGGGTGGCTCAGTCGTTAAGCATCTGCCTTCAGCTCAGGTCATGATCCCAGGGTCCTGGGGTTGAGCCCCGCATCAGGCTCCTGCTCTGCAGGAAGCCTGCTTCTCCCTCTCCCACTCCCCCTGCTTGTGTTCCCTCTCTCACCGTGTGTCTCTCTGGCAAATAAATAAATAAAATCTTTAAAAATGAATACACTGGATATGGTAAACAGAAAAGTAGATACAGCTAAAAAGAGAATTGGTGAAGTGGAAGATAGATTTAGGAAATTACCTAGAATTCTGCCCAAGATATATATATTAAAAAAAAAGGGAAATATGAAAGGAGTTGAGGGACAGGGAAAGTAGAATTAATAGGTCCAACATATGTCTTATAACAGGAATTCCAGAAAGAAAGAAAAGAGATGGTCCGCTTGGGTGGCTCAGTTGGTTAAGTGTCTGCCTTCAGCTCAGGTCATGATCTCGGGGTCCTGGGATTGAGCCCCGAGTTGGGCTCCCTGCTCAATGGGGAGTCTCCTTCTCCCTCTCCCTCTGCCCCTCCCCCTGCTTGTGCATGCTCTCGCTCTCTCTCTCTTTAATAAATAAATAAATAAAATCCTTTAAAAAAAAAGAAGAGAGAAAATGAGAAAGATGAGCAATTTTCAGAATGGATGAAAGATATAAATCTTCAGTGTCAAGAAGCACAAGTTCCAAGCAGTTCCAAAACAAAATAAATCCACACAAAAATATATTGTTGCAAAAATGCAGAGAGTAGAAGAAAAAGAAATTTCAAAAGCTACCAAGGAGAAAAACAAGTTACCTAGAAAAGAAAATCAGGCCAAAAGTAGACATTTCCAGAGCAGTGATGGAAAACAAGAAGGCACTGGAATCATATTTTCAAAACCCTGGGGGGGAGGTGGGAATCAATCTATAACTTTATATCCAGCTGAACTATCATTAAAGAACAAGAGTAAAATAAAGACATTTCAGACAAACAAAATCTACCAAGAACAGATCTCATCTATAGGAACTTCAGAGCAAATATTTTCCAAAAGAAATGCAAGGGGAAAAGTTGAGTAAATAAATTTGTATACATGCAGTGAAATTTACAATTTCATACAATAACTAGGAATTACTCATTTCTGGTAACAGAACTAGGTGAAATAAAGTGTTGGTAACATATCAAGATGGAAAGGAAGTGACCAAAATTAAGCATTTTTTAAAAGATTTTATTTATTTATTTGACAGAGAGATAGCAAGAGCAGGAACACAAGCAGGGGGAGTGGGAGTGGAAGAAGCAGACTTCCTGCTGAGCAGGGAGCTCAATGAGGGGCTCGATCCTAGGACCCTGGGATCATGACCTGAGCCGAAGGCAGATGCTTAACGACTGAGCCACCCAGGAGGCCCCAAAATTAAGCATTTTAAATTTGTTTATATTGTTGGGAAGTAGGGAAGAAATATGATAAACTTTAGGCATTGTTAGGTAAGCATGTCACAATTTTAAAGATAACTATTAAGGCAAAAATGTACAATTTCCTCTTTAGTAAGGAATAAAAATAATTTTAAAACTCTTCAGTCAATCTAAAAGGAGAATAGATTTGTAGGTGTGGATGCAGGAGGACTTAGACTAAAAGTGGGGAAACTGGTTAGGATTCTGTTGCTCATAGTAGCAATATAAATATCTGGATATAAACAATAATGATTGTGTAGAATTATAAGAAAAAAATCTAAAAAACCTTAGTAATGGAAATAAGGGATACTTTGAATGGAGAGATTATAATAGACCTAATATTGTAAACTGTCAACTTTTTACTAAAATTAATTTATAAAGCTACAATTCTAATACAAGACCAGCCAAGGATGATTAGGATTGTTTCCTTTCCCTCTCTCCCTCCCTTTTCCTGCACCAATCCCCTTTTACTTCTCACTCTTGATTCAACTGTAGAGCACCAGGCATGTAGCAAATATTCAATAAATTAGTATTCTTTTAAAATAAAAGAATAAGTGAATGATTCCACTGATCTGCAAGGAATTTCTGATTTACATCCTCAGAAAAAAGTCCCATCAAGCATGATACACAGTACACATCAAGATAATATCTAACTTTGAATCTCTGCATAAGTATGCAAGCTAACCCTTTGCCAAGGATGCTTTGTGAGTTGATTACAATTGGAAAATTACTGTAGAAGTGTTCCTGAGAGACACAAATAGATGACAATATTGACTTCTTAGGGTTAATCTAATGAAAATAACCCCCATTAATTAAAATATAAGAGTAGAAGACCATTACTCATTACTTTCTAAATACTTCCTAAAGTTAACAAAACTCTGACTTTTTTTTTTTTTAAGACTTTTATTTATTTTTTGACAGAGAGAGAGAGAGAGACAGCGAGAGAGGGAACACAAGCAGGGGGAGTGGGAGAGGGAGAAGCAGGCTTCCCACTGAGCAAGGAGCCCAATGTGGGGCTCAATCCCAGGACCCTGGGATCATGACCTGAGCCGAAGGCAGATGTTAAATGGGCTGAGCCACCCAGGCACCCCAAAACTCTGACTTCCTATAATAATTTCTATAGCTCCTTAAATATTGTGTGGCTCAAGAAGTGTCTTCAATTCATATATATATAGTATATTCCATTTACATATACATATACACACATACACATGCATGCACATGCACAGAAAATGACCCACTCATGAAGCATCAGAAATTCACATTCTGATCAATTTCCTATAAATGATCAAAAAGATCTCAAATGCCTAATGGTCCCTGACAGCTGTTGTCTTGAAACATATAAATATTAACATGTTACTAAGAATTGTATTTCCCCATATCTTTATCAACTTTACACATTTTCCCTGTTTATTGCTTAGTCATTCCTAATTAGCAGAAATCCAGGGGCTCTCCTGGGATTCCTACTTTGAACTGTCCCAAGAATCCCAGGGATTCACTGAGCCCAGGTGGGTCAGTACTTCCAAATGGCGGAACTGGAGACTGCTCAGTCTATAGGCATTCCTGCTTCTGTGACTTTTACAAGTATTGTGTCATCACTAAACACAAATCCTGGCTCAAGTATCAGGTGAAACCCCTGCTGGGCCAGATCCCTGCCCAACCCAAAGCTTATGCTTGGGCTCCACGTTTATAGCTCCTCGTTTTCACTCACATATTCAGCCACTGCTCTCGAAGAGTGACAAGACATCTTAGCGGCTAGGTCCGGAGGTTCTTCAGTCTCACCTATGTGTTTTTCGAGAACTCTTCTTTTTGTCCATTCTATATCACCCCAGATTCTCCCATGAGGAATTCCTGTCTGGGGCTTTTGGAGCCCTCTCACACCAGCAGATGGTTAGTGCCACGCTGTTTTGGGGGTTTATTTTTTAAGATTCTATTTATTTATTTGACAGAGAGAGACACAGCGAGAGAGGGAACACAAGCAGGGGGAGTGGGAGAGGGAGAAGCAGGCTTCCCGCTGAGCAGGGAGCCCGATGTGGGGCTCGATCCCAGGACCATGACCTGAGCTGAAGGCAGATGCTTAACGACTGAGCCACCCAGGCTCCCCAGTGCCATACTCTTAAAAGCAGTTTTCTCTAATTTCAGCTCCAGAAGAAGAGCATGAGGTCTTGCATTCATTTCCGTACAGAAGCCTCCAGGGCTCTTTTTGCAAACTGATAAGCCACAGAAAGTTTTTAAAAATCCTGTTACATCTATTTCCTAGGCAAGGAGAGTCTAGTGCCTTGACATTCCCATAACTAAGACTAGCCACACAAATGATTGCTCTCATAATGGAAGGAGTCTGCTCCAGAGGGACTTGTGTCTTCATTCCTGTACCCACTAGTTCTGGTACCCAGATACACCAGCCTGAACAGCTCTTCTGGGCCCACTGCCCTCAGGTAAGATACAGCAGCCTGGAATAGGCCAGGCCTCCTACTGTGAAAACATCCTTCACGTAGCCTCCTTGCTACTAAGCCAGAGCCTCTCTCAACTTGAGCTTCTAGGCCCTCTGGGTGTGAAGTTTGATTAAAGATACTGTTTTTAGGTACAAATGGCCCTTTTTAAACACAAACCAACCATCTCGTAAGGGCCCCGGAGAAGAAGCAATCTGTTTTAACACTAGAGGAAAAACTGTGTTGAACTGGGAGCAGAGCTCCACTACCTTCCTATCTTTATAAGGGAATTTCAAGGGTAGTTTTGGTTATCCTTTGCCTTAAGTGCTGACTTCAGTACCTACCCTCTAGGTGAGCTGGGGACCACTGAAATATAACGTGCCACTCTTCTACGAAGTGCACAATTAAAACTTCCACCGGTGATTATGATGAAAACAAGTTAGAGAGCCACTGATATCCATTATCCCAATAAACTCTCTTAGCCACACTGTTAACTAATTCGGACAAAGTATAATACACAGCGTGCTTGCATTGGCAGCATGTATACTAAAACTGGAACCATACAGAGAAGAGTAGCATAGTCCCTGTGCACAGATCACATGCAAATTCGTGAAGCATTTCATATTTAAAAAAAAAAAAAGTAAAATACACAGCAATAACAGGATGACAAAATCCAGTTCCTCATCTCCAGTCAAATATTTTCCCTGACTACACAATAAGTAGTTACCTCTCAATTCTAAATTATCAACTTTGCTGATGATAATCCAGGGAGATTCAGCAGGGAGCTGGGGGCCCCATGCTATCATGGTTGCTGGGGGATGGGCAGGGCGCCCAGGCAGAGGCCACATTCTTAAAGGAAAGGCATTCCAGAATCCCCAGAATTTGTTTCGAAAGGCAGTACCGTTCTGCTAGTTATCTACACCCAAAAACTTCAGAATTATCTTTGAGTTCTACTTTTCGTGCAATATCTGTGTCTCTCCATTCTCGTTCTTTCTTTCTTCCACACATTTCTCCCTTTTCTTTCTCATTGCCACCACCCAAACCAAGGCCCATATCACCTCCTTTCTAAATTACTATAATTCCTAATGAGCCTCACTGGCTCAGATTCCTCTCTCTTCAAATCATCTTGCTCACTCCAAATAAATCTCTCTAAATAAAGTTTCCACCATTTCATTGCCGTATTCCAAAATTGTCACTGGTTCCCATTGCCTAAAAGGCCCAAATCCCTTGCCCCTCCACAAATTAGCCAAAAATCACCTTTCCGAATCTATGTCCACCTTTCTAGTCAAACCAGTCACCTGGCTGCTCGGGCGCACCGAGCCCATTTTCGGCAAGCACTGTGCCTCCTGTGAGGCCAGAGTTCTGCAGCCGGACAGTCCTGCGAGCAGATCCCCGTTCTGCCCTCGGGGGCCAGGTAAGTGTGGGGCGGTTATCTCCCCGAAACTACCCTGCTGCGCCTTCGCCTCAGGTGAATAACAGCACTGATTTCCTCAGGTCACTGTGAGGACTAAAGGGCGAAGGAGGAAAATGATACAAAGAGGACGCGTGGACATGGCAGATATTGTTACACCACTTTGCTTAAACTATTGCCCCGCTTGTAGTGGGCCCTGTTCCCATTGCTGCCAGGACTGGTTATTAGACTGTTGGCTCTCAGTCTCAAACCCACCCCCGCCCCGGGTTTGTCTAGGGGCCAAGGGCTGAGGCTGCAAACCGGTTCCGCTTTGCTGGTCCTCGGCAGCTCTTCCAGAAGGAGGCGCTACGGGGAGACGGCAGGCCTTTCCTCCTGTTGGACGTTCCTGTGGGGCTCCTTCCAGCAACAGTTCTTCCTGCAGCAGCAGCTAGGCCTTTTGCAGGTTTTCCCCTACACCCCCGAACCAGCCTCACTGGGGCTCTAACAGGCACGAGCGCCATCTGGGCAGGACCCCCTGTACCAGCTCTGGGACCTCTTCTCCAAGTTTCTAATCCAACCTTTTCTCTTTGTTCCTCAACCCCTATGGGCGGTGGCTCTTTCTGGCTCTTCCTGTCGCTGAAATACCTCAGAGTGTCCTTTATGTCCTCCAGAACCTGGTTACTAATTCTTCATATTAAATTGTCTCTGTTAACCTAACTGGTATGGCGTGCGTTTCCGAGCGGGCCCCCGGCTGATATTCTTCCCAACACTTCCACCCTCCAAGTTGAATACACAGCTCATTGCCAGAAGGCCTCCTCATGCCATCAACTCTCACAGATCCCCAGACTCACCACGGAGGAGAGATGGGATGCCCTTGGAAATAAATTTCTGATGTGACTCTCTTGTCTTACCGCTGAGAAGCTGAGGTCAAAAGTTAAAGGCAGGACCTCCATCTAGTTCTCTTGCCTGCTCTCGGGGACAAAGGGCCCACAGGTGCCATTCGCTTAGCCGTCAATCATTTGAGGCCCTGCAGCCTCTTCCGAATGACCGCCTTAGCATATCATTTAACTGAGACCCTCTAACTTAGCGTTAGGCATTTGTATAAAGGAGCCCTCCTGTGTGAGTCCCTGGGCTCCAAAAGTACTTAGCTGTGTATTACAGACGCTGTATGTATGCGTGGGCACAGAGGGAGGACTCCAAATAAAGTTCAGTGAATGAATTATTTAATTCACCCCAAACTTTGAGCACAAGTGATGTCTATAGCTCTCATGTGTTCTAGACTATTGCTAGCAATGATCACCGTCTGAATCCAACAAACGTCGGAGAAGAGTGTTCCGGCCTTCACAGACGCTGAAGGTCTTCTGTAGTTTGCTCCCTCTGTGTAGCAGAACGGAAGCTCTAATGGGATTGGATGAGAAGGCACACCCTACTAGTTAGATAGGACATTCACATAAATTCACAGCGTAGTTTTATTAGGTGATGTTTCCTCATTGATGGACTCTAATACTAAAAGTTATAAATAAGTCTTAGGACAAAGCATTTTAAAGTACAGTTCTCAAATTATTTCCATAAATTTGGCTGTAATAAAATAACCTTAAATTATGCATAGAGGATAGTCATTGCAGTATGGGGAGTGACTGACCCAGTGAGATTTTTTCCAGCAACTTCTGGGGCAGCACATGGCTGTGACAGCCTGCGAGGACTAGGGAGTGTGACCTGATCATTGCCATGGTCCATACCTTCTATCCACGCTTTCCCTGCCATGTCTCAACTTCTCTTCCAAAGAAGGTAGGCTCTGCCTTGGGGTCCGTCTGTGGAGACAAGTGGTGACAACACACGGCGGCTGAGTGATGACAAACAAGAGGAGGGGCACGAGGGTGCTGAGGAGGAGGCGTGTCTCTCCCCAAAGCAAGGCAATCGAGGATCAATTAGTTTTAACAGCTTTGGCCTGTGCTAATTTCTTTATATTGATTTGGAAAATTTCACTGGAAATGAATTTGGGACTCATGTTAGCCAAATAATTGATTTCTTTCTCTGCTTGTTTTTGCTTTTGAATTTTTGCCAACCTTAGGATTTAGGGATAAAGTGTCCAGAGGAGCAGAAAAGCATTTGGGGAAAATATTTAGGGCCAACCTACATTAAACACACTGTGTGCTGGATGCTGAAGAGCCTAGAGCAGTGCCTCCCAGACTTTGCTGTGTATTAGGGTTACCTGGGCAACTGGAAAAATAAAACCACAGACCCTGATGCCTGGGTTGGGCTCCATACCAATACCATCGGGTAAATCAATAGTTTTGAAAGATTCCCTCCGGTGATTTCAATGCACAATGAAGATTGGAAACAAGTGGTCTAGCGAAAAGAGACTGAGCTTTGGGGTAAAGCAGCCCCGGGCTTAGGTTCTGGTTCTTCCACTTACCAGCCATATGACCTCAGGAAGAAATGTGACACCTTTGAGCCCCAGTTTCTTCCTTGGCAAAGGACGATACCGATACCACATCGAAGAGCTGTGGTAAATATTAAATGACAGGATAAGAATGAAGAACACATGTTATTCAATAAACAGTTGTTGTTAAAGAATTCACAGACAGAAACAAAACTAACTCGTTATAATTCAAGGCATAGTCAACTAAGTGCGAGACGTGACCCACTAAGGGAAACGGGAGAAGCAACTACTGTCCAGGGAGGATCAAAGAAGGCTTCACAGACAAAATGACCATTGACCTGAATTTTGACTTATGGGACCATTTGGGTTGGCAGAAAATGAAGAGAAATATCTTCCTGACAGGAGGAAATAGCAAGTGGAGCCACGAGATAAAGAAAAGCAGGTTCGGGGAACTACGGGGAGGCCCACATGGCAGGAGCGAGGGGCATGGAGTGTGTGGTGGGAAACGTGCCAGGAATACCATGTGGGGCTTCGACTGCCCTTCCAAGGAGTCTGAGCCTCTCCCTGTACACAGTGAGGAATCAGTGCTGTCTCTGAGGTGGAAATGGGATGATTAAATCGCTGTTTTTAAGGTTGAAAAGAGAGGAGTTTGGAGGGAGGTGAACCAGGAAGATGGCAATGGCAGTTGAGCAGGGAGAGAGAGGGAGGCCCTGAATTCCAGAACGGTCACAAACTGCACGGCCACCTGGCAGCATGAGCTACTGGTGAACCGTGAGAAGTCACCCTCCAAGGTTTCTATGTGCGTGGCTGGTTGTTGGTGGCATGTACACAAGATGGGTGACTTGTAGGATGAAGACTCTGAGTTCAGTGGGAGACATGCCAAGTTTGGAGTGAGATGTCCCATTGGCGGTTGGAAATGTAGGTCAGGAGCTCAGAAGAGATGGGGTGGAGTCAAAGTGGGTGGGGAAGTGACCAGCATGTGGGTGAAGCTGTGGGAGAGAATGACATGGTGCTGGGAGGGAAGCAAAGCAGGAAGGCCTTCCAGGACCAAGATGAGAACTTTGGGAGAGGCCCACATTTAAAGAATGGCAAAGGAAAACTTGGGTCAGAGAGCTTCAAGGAGAATCTGGAGAAAGAGTGTCATGAAGGCCAAAAGAGGAGACTTCCCAGGGTTTTGTGGTCAAGTTGGAATTAGGAAATCAGACAGTCGTTGTTTTCCTCTGAAAAAGGAGGTTCTGTCAGGACAGAATTTGGAGGGTTGAAGAAGGAATGTGTGACAGAGTGTTGAGTAGAAACTCTAAAGAAGGGGGTGAGAAAATAGTGAATGGCAGCTTCAGGGAGAAGCGAGATTGAAGAAGGGTTGGTTTCTATAGAGAGGTTTCACCATTCATTCAAATCAGTGAGAAGGGGATCTGACGCTGAGATGTTAGGGAAAGAGGAAAAATGGATGTGGTCATATCCTGGAGGAGACTGGAGCATGGTGAGGAAGAGTGCAGGGAGGAGGGGGGCTGGGGCCAAGAAGAAGACAGGAGAGACCCGGAGTTCACAAAGCATTAACAAAACATTTTTGAATGGCATTTAGGACATCGCTGAAACGAGAAAGGGAGAAGGCAGGAGAGGGGGAATGGAGAGAATGACACACCTGAGTGGTGAGGGGCTGACCATCAGGAGCAGGGGTCGGGGACAAGCAAGATGGACCAGGTGCGGGCAGAGGAGGTCTGCCGAGGTGAGAGATGCTGGCCCCGGCTTCCTGGCAGCGCTGCGGAGGCCAAGCATCAGACCCTGGCTGAGCGGGCAGGAAACGGGAGGGGGCTGGGAGCCTATAAGATTCTGGAAGAGTAAAGACGCAGGCTCCG